AGTCGGAAATGGTAGTAGCGCATAGCATACGTAAATATAGAAGAGGGTGGCGTTCCGTTTCTAAGTCGGGCGAGGTTTAGACGAGGGGGGACACCTCTGCCTTCTGCAGACGGAAGCGAGAACTCACTGAGGTTGTGTCGTATAAGGTAGTTCTTGCTCTTCGGATCTCTAATCTACGAACCCTCTCTTGGAAAGTACGTGTACTCTAAAAGGAGATGTCTTAATATATATATATATATATATATATATATATATATATATATATATATATATATATATATATAAATAAATCATCTTACTTTTTGGAGCGTGTATTGACATGGTAGAAAAAAAAAAACATAATGCGCTGTATTTTTCTGCTATATTATGAACACATTTTTTTTTTTTTTTATCATTCATGTTTCGAGGTCTTTTATGTTTGTTTGTTTTTTTTCTCGAAAGTATTCTTGTCATATAACTCTGAACATATTTTAAATTCATAAGAAGTATCTCCCAGTGATCATATCTGAATATTATTTCCAGAGGTTTCAGAGCCACAGATCCGACGCTTCGACTTGACTGCATAATTCTAACACCCGAATCTGCAGCATGCCCGGCCACGTAGTGAAGAGCACGGGTCCCGACCCCGATCCCACTGAATACCTCTTCATTTCCGCCGAGCAAAGACGCATCGACCAGACGAAGCCTTACGACCCCAAGAAATCCGTCTGGGCTCCTGACCAGGCGGAGGGTTTCGTCGAAGCCCAACTCCAGGGCGCCAAGGGAGATAAACTGCTGACCGTAAAGCTTCCAAGTGGTGAGATAAAGGATTTTAAGAAGGAACTCATCGGTCAGGTCAACCCTCCCAAGTATGAGAAGTGTGAGGATGTGTCCAACTTGACCTTCCTTAACGATGCTTCCGTCTTCTACGTCCTTAAGTCTCGTTACCAGGCCAAGCTTATCTACACCTACTCCGGACTTTTCTGTATCGTCGTTAACCCCTACAAGCGTTACCCCATCTACACCAACCGTGCCGTCAAGATCTACATGGGCAAGAGGCGTAATGAGGTGCCCCCTCATCTCTTTGCCATCTGCGACGGTGCCTACCAGAACATGATGCAAGGTACGTATAGTGTGATTGCCAATATGCTTTTAAGATAGGAATGATAATGTATTCTATAAGTCTTACACTGGAAAGGGAGTCCCATAAAACTTATCCTATGGAATTTCTCTTTTACAGACCGTAAGAATCAGTCTATGCTCATCACGTAAGTGTACTGTTTCTTTTTGTCTTGACAAACTTGAAAATAGAAATTAGAGTTTGATTGTGTCTCGTCGGATTCGTTGAATACGTCTTATAGAAATATATCTAACCATATAATATTTTACGTAATTTTTGACATGCAGTACATTCTCCAAAATTAACTGTTTTCCTTCCACAGTGGTGAATCTGGAGCGGGAAAGACTGAGAACACAAAGAAGGTTTTGTCTTACTTCGCTAACGTTGGTGCCTCCGACAAGAAAGAAACTAAGCAGGTGGGTTGTTGCATAATGATTACTTATACATGCTGCGTTTCACCGGAATATGTAATAATCTAATAAGCACATTTTCTTTTCAACACTTTACAGAACCTGGAGGACCAGATCATCCAGACTAACCCCATCCTCGAGGCTTATGGTAACGCCAAGACTACACGTAATGATAACTCATCTCGTTTCGTAAGTATATTGTTAAATCTCATTCACATTTAAATGTATTTCTCACACTCTATAACACGAATATAATAAACATTACGATAAATGATAAACCTATAATAAACTTATATCTTCTCTCTCCGCGGTAAGGGTAAGTTCATCCGCGTGCACTTCGGCCCCAACGGAAAGCTTTCCGGTGCTGATATCGAGGTCTACCTGCTGGAGAAGGCTCGTGTCATCTCCCAGTCCCCCGCCGAGCGAGGCTACCATATTTTCTACCAGCTCATGTGCGACCAGATCGACTACATGAAGAGTAAATATTTGCATACATTATTATTTACCTACACTTCCGAAATTTTATGTCGTACAATAAACAATCAACTGACAGTCTAGTAATTTCCTTACAAACTTATTAGCTTCCAAAGGAAAAACGCATTTCTTTGATCAAACTAATTCCTGGTTTCAATGTTTTTCATGACTCACTCAAATTTCTTCCAGAGATATGTCTTTTGTCCGACGACATTTATGACTACAGCTTCGTGTCTCAGGGAAAAGTGACAGTCCCTTCAATCGACGACAAGGAAGACATGCAATTTACTCACGTAAGTTGAAGTGCAATCTGAAAATGAACATACCTTGGTATTTGCATCGCATGTATAGCTCTCAAGTTCTGTATCATGATGTTTATCTTGCTGTCTGTCTATTCTAGGATGCCTTTGGCATTTTAAACTTTAGCAACGAGGAGAGGGATAACTGCTACAAGGTTACCGCATCTGTTATGCACTTCGGTAATTGCAAGTTCAAGCAGAGGGGTCGTGAGGAACAG